GGAGTTTATTTTTTTATTTTTATAAAGCCAATCAGCAAATATAGACAGCTACTCCAATTACCGGGTGAATCTAGGACGAAACACATGTGACATATAATCCTGTCAAGTCCTCTTGAAGACTAGTTACTGTTAATTTTGAGAACATGTAGGTAGTGGGTTGTATTTGCTTCGCTATATAAAAGGGTGATTTTTTTCTGTCTTTGCAATCTCTTAGTGGATTGCCTGTGATGCACGTTGCATTCTTGTTTAATGCCTATTCAATAACAAAACTGTTTTCTTTTCTCTTTTACCTTTATGGAGGTTTTATTGGTTGGCAGGAGGTTTTTAATAATATTTCCCCAAAAAACTCAACTCAATTTTTTCAACCTACAGCTCTATCAGTTGTAAAATTAGGGTGATGGAGTACATTTTCAGTACATTTTCAAGATCCCTCATAGCCCTACAAACTCTAGAAAATTAAAAAACCCATTGTGATGTATAAAGTTCAAAAATAATATGAACAATTTTCTGAGTGACATCAGTTAGTTTTCTTTTAAATACGGAAGTTAAAAACAGATTCTGTCTCTCAAAATATTTTAAACTAAGACTTAATTTTATGTTCCCAGTAATTTCTTCATTGCATGTTTCATATCTTTGTTCCTCAGACTATATATTACAGGGTTAATGAATGGAGTAACCACAGAATAAAACAAAGTCACAATCTTCTGCATTCCAGCTTCATGCTCAGATGTTGGGCTCACATACATAATCATCACTGAGCCATAGAAAAGGGAAACCACAGCCAAATGGGACCCACAAGTGGAGAAGGCCTTTCTTCGTCCAGCTGCTGATGGGACCCTTAACACAGCTCTCAGGACCAAAGCATAGGACCTCACAATGAAGATAAAGGGAATAAACAAAAGTAGAGAACTCAAGGTGGAACTAGTCAACTCTATTACAGGGGCTTTGGTACATGTGAGGGCTAACAGAGGACCTGGGTCACACAGGAAGTGGTCAATAATCCTGGATCCACAGAAGGACATCTGGGAAATGACAGTGATAGGAATCAGGAACCAGAGGAAACCAAGTACCCAGCAACTGACCACAAGGATGTTGCAGAGATGTCCAGTCATAAGGGTGGGGTAATGTAGAGGTTGGCAGATGGCGAGGTACCGATCAAATGCCATAACTGCCAGGAAAAAGCATTCTGTAGACCC